ACTGTCCTTAAGTAAACTTGTTCTCTATATTATACAAAATATAATTATAAATTCTGGACAATTTGGCTTTTTTTTTTCATCACACAATAGACTAAAATATAATTCCAAAAACTTTTGTTACGCACTGTACTAATACATACTGTTATACATAAGGAAGCCCGCCCACCTCGTTCGTGTATTTGTAAGAAAAAATGTGCCGCGGTATTCTTTCCTTATAATAACATAACTTACAACTTACAATAACAAATGCACTGAAGACAACCGTCATTACCATTTCAATTTAAAATACGAAGTGGGGTTTTTTGTTTGCAGCTCCTCCCTCCTCCCAGTGTAAAACATCGGCTGGCAACTTTTTCTCGTAAAAATTTTGGTTGGGCTTCGCCAAATTATTAAAATTATCGTAAATTATCAAAGAAATTGTCTAAGTTTAGTAATTTTTTGGGGTAAAATCATAGAATTCGATAGTACATAGGCAAACTCGATAAGTCGGACTCGTCGGGGCGGACTCCTGTGTCCGACTTAACGAGATATCCGACTTTACCATAATAATAAATAATAAACGTACTTTTTATTTGCATGTTATGAGCTAAAACAAACTGTTTTAAAATGTAAATATAATAGATAATTCAATTTTTTATAAAAAGTTTCTATGGTAGGCTGTTTTAGAGAAGCGATTTGCTTTCTTTGAATTTGACACTGAAGGTCTTTCATTCCCGAGATTACCGATGCATTTGTTTTTATATCAGAACTATGTTGTAAATAATTGAATATATTTTGAATGCTATTCAAAGCATCCATATTTGATATTAAATTGTTTATGATTTCTCTCCTTCTAATGCTTCTTGTACTACTGCAATTATTTCCTCTTCATCAATCATTTCGGTGCCTTCTATTCTGGCATCAATATCAATACAATCGCTTGCTACGATATTGTCAACATTCATTTGCAATTATTGGGTAATTATTTTGTTACGTTACTAAAATAGTAAAGATTGTCCGTAAAAAATTACGTGGTCCGACTTATCGAGAGTCATTTGTTATAATCTGGTCGACAGGATTGTCCCGAGTTACGACTTATCGCGATTATATATATGTCGTCCGACTTATCGAAATTTTTTAACTATTCAAAAAAGGGGCCGAATATTTTTGTCCGAGTTAAGCCAAATCCGACTTATTATTATCGAGCGTCCGACTTATCGAGTTTGCCTATGTAGTCCGTCTTGTATTGGTATTTACACTATATTTCCGAAATGTCGTCATAATAAATCGCCGATCTTTTCCCATAAAGGTGTCATATTTACTCTTGCCACAATTTAGTGTGCTTGTTTGTTTGTTTGTTTGTAGGCGCTTTTTATTCTTATTTCATGGATAAATAAACACTTATAAATTTAATTCAGTATAATCGACAATTGCCAATAGTAAGGCGATCTGAGTTAAATTTGGTAACATCCCCCTGTCGGTGAACACACCTACCTAGTCATTATTGGCTCTCCCAACCAAATAATACACCGACCACAACAATATATGGTTAGTTTACCCGTGGGTAAATGAAGATTGCAAATTGTTTTCTGGAAGTCAATGATAATACTAATGATTCTTTCGCAAATAATAAGGCGGGTATAACGAAGAGCTAAAATTGGCATGGGAATTTAACGGGATCCAACACTATAATCAGAATAGTTTATATCACAAAAATCGAGACGACCTAGATAAACAAAGGGCAAGAGATCAGGAAAAAACAAAATATATGTAAGGAGCAAGGTATTATTTGATCATTATACCCTATGATTGTGATTTGTTTTCCTATATTCATACTACATTAATCGAAAAAGGTTATTTATCGCATAAGAAATAAATCATAATATTATCAGTCTTAAAACATGAAACCTATGTTCAGGCTAGTATACAATATAGATGAGATTAAAAATGCGGAAAAAAAATAATGAGCATGAAGCTGGCCTTTTAAAATCCTAGTTTCAGGACGAAGCAACTCCGGAAAAACAAATATGATCATTAATCTCTCGCTTGGAGACAAACTTTATTGGATGTTTAATGGGGAAAAAAGGAGGAAATCACTATATTAAAAACGATGATCTTGTTCTTTTCGGGCATCATCTCAAAGAACCAAAATACTAATATCTCCGGGATTGTTATCGGATAATTGCTAATAGCCCAAAGCCATTTTATAAAAATATTACATTTCGGGCTATGAAACCGGATAAAATTCCAAAGGTAGATCTCTCCATCAAGAGTACAGTAGCTATATTCGAAGATCTATACAGTGAGCCATGACCTTTCATTGGTTGATCAGATTTTATTCTCTACAAGCAATGACTGCGTGATATAGAAAAAAGAAAAATAAATCATTTGAAACAAACTCAAGATAAAAATAATACAGTAATAATAACACACAAGTATTAATTATTGGTTACACGATTTCCTACTTGTGTAACAGTTTTATATACGTTATAACAGACAGAGTAAACGTTGATTATTAGTTTACGCGCAAAAATTATGAAATATAAGATTACTGGTGTCTGTTTTATTTTTCTTTTCTAGCTCCTCGAATCTGGTCTTGAGCTCAGCATTTGCTTCTATAGCTTGTTTCAATTTTGTATTCTCGGCTTTGATCTCGGCATTCTCCTTTCTAAGCTCAGCAATCGTAGCAATTAGTTGAGAATTTAATTCTTGTAACGAATCGATTTTGGATTGAGTGTCTGACATTGTTTATACAAGATGCGGATATGTTTACTAAAAATCCTTGAACTATGATGTATTCTTATGAAGTGCCAAATTTACAGATAACTAAAAATATCGCATCAATTTATCCGTAAGACATATCGGGCTAACTGGCGATCGATCAGAATTACGTGGTACCAATTTAAGCACCATACAAGCTCTTTTAGGATTGATAAATAAAACAAGTGAGATTAAAAAGGTCATTAGAATCTATCATTTAATTTTTCGAGTCTGGTTAATACATAAAATGTTTGGATCTAATGAAACTGCATGAGAATAGTCTTGTCCATTTTATTTAAAAATTCTGTATGTTTATGTAGAAATGTGGCAAGGTGAGAAATGGCTTTCCAAGAACTATTATGTAGTGTAAAAAAACAGCACCATGGACAAGAGAATAGGAGTCGGACACTATATGGCACCAATTAACAATTTAAAACAGCATACCGAATATCAAAGAGATCAATGGAAATAGGGTCAGGTAAAGGGGGTGAGGGAATCATGAAGGTAGGTGGCATCCCATCATAAAGGCATCTCAATGGGATATTGATCACGCATTGCCCTGGTACAATGTTAATGGGATTGCCTTGATGGTCAACTGTGCCGAATTCATACTGAATAGAGAACACATTAGATTCGTTCAATTCTGTGGTAAAAAAGCATGTAATAATATAACATACCATGATGGGAGTGAGTGCACCATTGGCTGTTTGATTATTTATACAATAATGCCAAGCCTATTAAAGAATAAATATCATTTAAACAATGCCAATGGCAAATTCCAGAAATTAAATCTTCTTGTGATTACTTACTGTCATCTCCGTTGGGCGCATGCCTGGTACATAGTTGAAGTTAATACCAATTGCATCATGAGCTCTATTAGGAGTGAGCCAGTAAGTCTCTATTTTCTTCTTAAGTTCCACCTCAGTCATGGCATAAGCAACCTCTATTACAAGACTGGGCCAGGGTTCATTCTAAGAGTACATGTCATCACCAACATTATCAACATAATCACATTAGAAAGTGAACGAGATAAACTCTTCATACCCCTCCATCAGATCCACCATGGGGCACTTGAGGTTTACATTCAGGTCGAATAGACCCATCTGCTTCTTTGCCTGATCTATGTGAGTTTGTTGCTATTAATCAAAGATGATAAGTAATAGAAACATACCTAGCATAAAGAAAACTAGCAAAACACTCACTCGTCGCACCAGGAAAAAGAAAGCCGGAAGGAGTGTTCTTTACTAATCGAAGCGCACTATACAATTCTCCATTAATTGTACTGACGCAATGCTCATGAAATTTTGAGGGAATTTCGATAACACGAACGGTTCCATTTTCCCATTCCCAAAGACCCTTCACATTATGTTTATCCGTTTGAAAAATATACTCATCCAGCGACACATCAGTCTTGAGTTCGTATGGTAACCTTGATGATAAATATCAGCTACTAGTTTATAAAATATCCAATCGTTGAAGCAAATAGGATACTTACGTTGCTTCTTCCCATTTGGCTTTGGGATGTATGTTACCAGTTTTCCACCAAAGCTGGCGGTACCACTCGACATCCTTCACGGGACCATTAAGAGAAGTGGAAACCTCCGTTCCACTAGACATGGCTATGTTTCGACAATAAGTAACACAATCCTGCCTGCCTTGACCTTTGCTTACCATTACGTTATTCAACGTAGCACTACTTCGAGTGTTCGACTTTTCATTCCAAAGACTTGCCATATTGGTTAAGTACAGGTACCGGTACAGGAACAGGTACAAGTTTTGAGATTGACGTAGATATACAGTCAGATTGCATAAATTATGCAAGCGAATATGCAAACTAAAACATTCCGTCACACAATAATCATGTGGCAGTGAGTTTTAGCTCAGGTCCTGTTCAAAGTCACGTTTGCGTGAACAATTCACGAGTCTCTTGAACGTTTGACAGACTTTTTTGTTGCAAAATCAGATCTGACAAGCCAAAGTCTGTTAACTTCGCCACGCCCAATATATTATGGGAAGACTAATAAAACCAAGTTGCAAATTACTGTGTGAATATTCTAAACAATATAATAATATACTACAGCAACGACAGTTACCAGATTTTTATGTAAAATATCAAGCCCGTGTAGGTGTCGTAATCCATCAATGATATTGATACCAAGCTTGCATCTCGCAAGCCAGTCCAATTCAACCGATGTGTCTGATAAATAACGTTGCAATGAACTGCCATCCGCATATTCAAAGACCATGACATATCTACTTAGCGGACCTTTCGATTCAAATAAATCATCATATGTTCGAACATTTCATCTTCATTTTCTGAATGAAGAGTCCTGTATGCGATCATTCTACTGTGTGTCTTCGCTTTCGCTTTAAAAACTGCTCCATATCTCCCGACACCGATGCATAGCGACTCAATAAAATCATAGTAAGCATAAAACTGGATGCTTCCATCTCCTTAACCAGAGTGACTTGAGGCCATGTTTGTTATAATTCGTAAAAGCCTTTCATATTCATGGGTGTGACTAATGGCACGTGATGTGTGGCTGAGGTCATAGCCAAAAGCCCAGAAATTTAGGACGCAACGCCGTAGCCGACCACTGATGGACTTGGTTGCAAGATTAGAGAGGTCGTCACTCATCTTTACAACCAGAATATCACTTACGAGATACGAACATTGTTGTGGCGAACGACGGCAGCTTTACGTTAATTGACTTTGATTGGTCAGACAAGTGTGCGCTATCCGCCGTGTGTCAACCGCGCTGATATCCAGCGACCAGATGATGCACTAGATGGAAAACTCATCATGCGGCAACACGACGGCTATATGCTTGATAATGCTCCATTGATTGAGCAAATTCAGAGTGGTCACTTCATAGTGTTATATAGGGCAAGGGCTCAGGATAGGTTGTTTCCGTTGCCAGCGGGGGATGCAATGAAAACGACGGAATAGTGTAAGTGTTATAAACGCCAGATTGGAAATTAATGAGACGAGATTATTATTTTTGTAAATTCTATATCGATATCTATGGTTAAAAACGTGCTTTGATTTGGTATCGGGTTTAGTAATTCTGTGATATTACGTTAACATATTGATACTAATGTTTGAAAGACAAAGGCATTTATGTTATTAAACTAGTATGTAACCCGTCACTTCATTGACGGTGTAATAATCTATATATAATAAATAGTACAAATGTAAAGTAGTTCAGTAGAGTATAATAGAAAAGAGATTGACAATTATACAATATATCTGAAATAACTTGTAGAAAAAGATGAAAAAGCATTAGTAAAGGATAAATAAAGTACAGAAAAGAGAAAAACAAAAAAAGAAAAGGTTAGAATAGACTAGAATGGCTAGAAAAAAAAGAAAACAAAGTTAATAAATATGAGTAATAAAAAAGGAGAGAAAAAAAGGGTATTATTATTATGACTAATACTTCTGGGTATACAATATTTTGAGCATATCCAGCATTTGCATGTTGTCCTGTTGTTAGTATCTTAGGATTTTGTTCAGATGTTGTTATTCAATGTTTGGCCCTGCGCCTTATTTATCGTCATGGATTGTACAGTGTCGAGCTAGCATACACCTGGGTGCACTAGCCGTTTTGGGATTTAGTCCTTTTCCAACGGAAGCTCTCTGCTCTTCCTACTTCAAACTAAATATCGTTTACAATTAGTGACCTTTAAACCAGGATTTATACTCACGATCTTTTTATCGGTCTCGTATACGATGTCCCCAGATTATTATTTAACCTCGAGTAATCACTGCGATTTCTTTGATAGGATTAATCTCAAAGCCGGGGAATTATTCTATCTAGCTGTTAACAATAATTAAACAATAATCCTGAATGCAAAAGTACTAAATAGAATTAATTGGCAAGGATTAATTCTATTCACCGCTGA